TGGAACTCTCTCTCTCCCTCTCTCTCCCTCTCTCCCTCTCTCTCCCTCTCTCTCCCTCTCTCTCCCTCTCTCTCCCGCTCTCTCAAAGATGGAAGTAACGACTAAAACTTGCGGTGGCCGGATTTTGACCCGTAGACCCATATTCCAAGTTGCTGTTCGGAGTCCCAACGGAGGTCGGCCCGGTGCTCTCTTTGGTTCAGCTAGTAGAAATACATCTTTGCACTGGGCGAATCGAAACTCTTTGTTCGGCTCCAACCATCAGACCAGGGCAATTTGCGAAGCTCGGAAGTTTGGAAGCTTGAAAGAGGCTTGCCATTCGACCCGATCAGCAGATCAGCACAAGAGTCGAAGCTTGCTCCCTAAGGGAAAAAGAGAAACAAGTGTTGACCACTTGTCTGCCCTTCAGGTTTGCTTCTTGTAGAGGCAAGAGGAGGAACCCTATTGAAAGTTTGTGAACGTTTGAAAGCTTGTTCTTGGACAAGTACCACTTTCAGAAGGCCCTACTAACCCTGCGGCAAGGCCACGCTGAACGGAGATTGACTCTCCAAAAACTCATAAATCGCGGGCACGTGGCACGTGGACAGCGAATCCAGAAGCTGCCTCCAAAGCCATGGACACGCCTATACTGATCAACGGGACCAGCTATGAAACCTGGTTTTGTCGCATTCCCATAGACACACTCCAAACTCTGATGCAATCCGGGACCAGACCAAAACCCCAAAAGAGCCCCAAAACTTACGGGGTTTCAGCACAACTCCGTGGCCACCGCTTGGACGGTGTTGGGCTGATGTTTCTTTTATCCAAGCCGAGCCGCCGGGTACGCCCCGGTGAAGTTGCCCCCGGAGACCTCCTTGGAATCCGGGAGTCGCACATGACGGGTCTCACTTAGCCTATAGACACTCCTCTTACATACATACATATATATATATATATGTGTGTACATATGTATATATATATATATACATATATATATATATATATATACATACATATGTCTATATATATGTATACATATGTATTTGGAAATTTATATATATATATACATATATATATATATATATATATATATGTATATATATCTGACGTACATACATCGTACATACAATGTATTGCACAAATATAGCATCTCACTCTATAAAATGATGCTTTCATGCAAATAGAACACATTCCCTTGAAATACCAGACAAAAGGGGGTGAAAACTATCTTGAGAACGACCTATATGTCCCCCCGGGCCCAACCATTTGCCAGGGCAACAAACCGGGCCAAGTTTGGGGGGGTTTATCATCCCTATGCTCAAAACAAAAGAAAAGCCAACGGACGTCTGCGGGGTCCATGTCTAGAACCGCACAAATCACTCTAGCCTGTGTCGAGAAAGCGAAGTTGGAGGTTCTGTCCATGAAGCACCGCGGAAGAGCCGCTGCAAGAATGAGTCGAATGTGGGCTTCGGGTACCTAACGCGGAACCGCTGCCCCTTGGTTTGGAGCCGGCGGTTCGGAACTGGGGATTTGAACCCCTTGCGGAGGGGAAATGGGAAACCCTGGAAGACCACCAAACCGGGCACCAAACGGCCTTCAGTCTGAGTGGGTAAGGGCCAAACTCGTCCGAGCCTTATCTGAAGAGGTTGATTCATGATTGAATCACCTTTGAGTTGGCTCAGACATACTCAACCACGTCTTGAGGGGAAAGGCCAAGTTGAATCCCCAAATAACCCAAGTATGTGGATAACGTTTGGAATGCAAACTAGCAGGGATTTGGGGGAGCTGGCTATCCAGCCAGTTCAGACGCAAAACACCTGGTTTGCCAAAGGGACCTACAAAAACCTCATTGAGCTCTTCCTGGCCATTCATAACGGTTGCCCAAGCCTGATCCTCAATCCCGAGAGAAACCCCTACCTTTCGTGACCCGAACAATCTGTGGATTGCCGAATGAACACCCATGCAGAAGGCGCGTCTGTTTTTGTATGGTAATAACACTTGGGGTGCTTTGATTTCGGCAAACCAAAGGAAAACCAACAGGAAACCAACCGGCGACCGGCTGTGAAATTTGATAAGGAACCTCAGAAGTCCTTGGTGGACCTTTTGGTCCCCCACCAAATTCTAATGTCCACCGAAGGGTCCCGAACTAAAATTCATTCCCTAAATCCAGGGGAAACTCCTTCCAGCGCTCAGCTCAACTGGGCCCCAGGGCCCTCTTTGTGCCTTCAGGCGAACCTCGGCACTCGAGGGGATGGACAGAGGGCGCTTCCAGAAGCCCTCTCCCCCAAACATGGAGTCTTCCGGCTGTCGTGATTGCAGAAAAACGTGTCTTTGTTGGAGTTCCTTGCAAGGGGCAACCACCTTTATATCTGGGCCTCTGTTTGATTGATTTGCTTGCGCGGAGGGGGAGTTGTTTGAGGGGAACACGTGCAAATCGAGCCCGGTTGGGATGTTCCATACGCACAGATTCTGTCAAGATCTAGCGATTCATTGATGGAAAAACATGGTTTCCAAAAGTTGTTCGCCTTATGACAAAGTCGGTTCTTACTCGTGGACATGCCCATAGGTCCATTGGAACTTTCAACTGATCCATTGCGCACATCTGCTTCCTTGCAGCATGATCTGCTTCTCAAGAAACACGGGGGTTCCAGCTCGATTTGACACACGAGCCTCTATCAAGATCATTGGTCCGGGGTTTTGGCCAAGACCAGCTCGCTTTGGTGCATACAGCGACTGGGAGGGCCCACACCTCTTCCATCCTGGGCCCCCCTGCCCTGGTAGTCAGCCTGCACAAAGAGGCAGCCGATGTGCGTGTGTGTCAGAATTGGGGGGACCCTTTCAAAAATGGTGGTTTTCGGTGAGGTGGAGTGAAGGGTAGGCAGCAGTCGTTCATGCCAAGCCTCGCTTCCTTTTCGGCCGAAGCTTAGGGCTCAAGCCGGCAACCGAAAGCAGACAGCCGATTGCCATGACATACGGGGGACAAGCAAATGGCCTCAGAGTACCATCTTCTGTCAACATGTGGTAAAGGCAGAGGTCAAAACAACCGGCAACCTTGATCATGCTCATACCACCATCCCAACCAGCCCCAAGCAAAGGTGTCTTTTGACCATGGCACATGCAGGAAGATGGCTGTGGCTCAAACTTGGGTAGCCCCAGAGTGGCTTGCCCTGGTACATGGACACATGGACTAAAATGATTTTAAAAAAATGACCCATACCCATATCTGAATTTTGGGGATCCCGAAAAATTGGTGGATTTCCTTTTGGTCTCCCTTGAACACCACCAAAAACTTTCTGGTTCTCATCAGGGAATGAGACATGGAAGGACCCCAAGAAAAACCATCCCCTATGATTTCCTTGAAGGGACACCCTAGGTCCTGGGTCATTCCCTACTGAGCACCAGCACCAAAAAAGGAGTACCAACTCCAAAGAAGAATTTGGACCCAGACCCTCTTTTTTGTAGGGGGGCCCCACAAAAACGGGGTGTTCTTTTCCGTTTGGTTCCCTTTGAAACCACTAAAAAAGGGGTACCCTCAAAAAACGACAGGCCCAAATCTCCAGCTGTTGAAGCGACGCCTTGGCCAGCTCGACCGCTGTGCGCAGCTCGATACACCGCTGCCTCAGGTTCGGGCAACTTCGGTATCCCCGACGCGGTGGTTCTCTGAGACTGGTTCAACCTAAGTTGATATTTAGATACATATACATATGTACTAAGTTGGTTTTATGTTTATAGAGGGGGGACCCAGCCAATGGTGGTTCTCCTATTGAATTTCAGTCAAACCGAGGTCAAGTGGAGATCCCTGAACAAAAGAATTGCGCAAAAGAAGAGGCAAGATGTGACTCGAACAAGGTGAATTCCAAATGTAACGCTAAAGGTGGAGGTCCCAGACAACGAGGGTCCCAAAAAAGCCGAAATGAAGAAAGTCGCTGCTCCCCAAACAATTTCCTCTCAACACCCTGGTTCAAAGAGATCCTCAGAATGGCACGCCGCAAGCTGCACCAGCTTGCGGGTCTCTGCGATGTCCTGGCGACGATTTTGGCTTTTTCCGCATCAGGAACACACCTGGGCAGCCAATTGAAAGCCGATCGTTTCCGGGGTGCTTTCCTTTTCTGGGGGGAGCGGCCCCCCAAAAGGGGAGGTCCGTCTAGTCACTGTCTTGGGTTCTACGGTCGATCCAACAACGGGTCAATCATCAATCACTCTTGGGGTTGTTATTTCAACAACATCCGCATGTGAAGAGCCCTCCCCTCCCTCAAATAAACATGCTGAGAAAATTCTAACTCCCCGCTGCTAGGCCTCCCAAGTTGAACCATCGGAGTTGTCTTCAACTACCCTTCTCTTCCAGAAGAAGCATTGCACATACTCATGTTGCTTTCCCTTCAGGGAAATTGAACGGTTCTGGGCAGCTTTTGCACCCTTTGCTTGGAAACCCCCACAGCTCAAGTCCATCGCTCCTGGGTGGTCTCTGGGTCCTCCGCTTGCCATTGCTCAACCCGGGCCATGGCAAAGGAACATGCGAGTGGCAACCTCTGAGAACTTGTCGCATGGTCAAACGTTGCAAGAAGATGTTGCAAAGCGCCTGGAGCCGAGGAGTTGTGTGCCTTCAAACGTATTCCTGTGCCTCTCTGGCAATCGGCTCATGTACGGCTGCGGATGGGGGCAGAAGGGAGCGACAGGGGGGCCTCAGCCTGTGAGAGGCTGTGACACATCCAAGTCTCTGATGGGCCAAGGCCAAAGAGAACTCCACCCAGGGTTGATGCGGCAAGGCGAACCCTTGATTTGAGACCTTAAGCTTCGTCCCACAAATGGAACCCCCCCCATAGCAACAGACCCACACGCGCCACGTGCCGCATGAAGGAGCAGCTGAGAAAGATTGCCACACGCCCCCCCACCCCCTGTCTCACCCCCCCCCCCTCCAAACCAGAAAGGTTCCGAACCCCCCCCCCCCCAGCGGAAGCTTCCTTCTAAGAACCCCTTCTAAGACTGTCTGGCCACTGTCTTGCCCTCGGTTTCCACGCTCCCGCCTGCTGCTCCTTCGGCCTGGCGAACCGAGAGCCAGCCGAATCGGCACGTCGGATGACGGCCGGCATTTGAGGGAAATGGAGGGCTACCCGCTGGCTTCCCTTTCAAGCCCAACCAATCAGAAGTCGAGGTCCTGACTTAAAGGGCCCGTTTTGTTCATTTCGGACGCCTCCTGCCCTCTGCAACCACTGCCTCTCGGCTGGAGGGGCTGGTGGTGAAGCCGGCCTAGCGCACTAATGTCGGCTGATTGAGTCCAGCGACTCGACTTGAAGTCTGCGACATAGGGTCCGTTGCAGAAACGACACTCAGAATGTGAATCCAGGATTGAGCGGAACCGCTGGTTGAGTTGCAGGGGGAGCGGCCTGTGTGTAGAAGGAAAACGTCACTTTTGGGGGGGACACACCCCTATTAATCCGCAAGTTTCATTCATCCAGGGACGTTCACCTATGGAATGTCCGCAAATGTTGAAAAAACCAAGAGAATGGGAGATCGCTTGGAACAAGTAGTGTGTTCACATGCCAAAACCCTCAAATCAGGCAAAGCACTTCTGGCCGCTCACGTGATGCCGGAGCTGTTGACAGGTCTCTATCATTCCAAAACCGGAAAGCAGGAATCCGCGAGTACGCTCCCCCAAACGATTCCATAAAAGCTCCCAGGACCCCTTTGCAAGACTTGGTTCCGTTTACAGCGGCCTGGGAGTTGAAAGCCCCCGGATCAGGCCCAAATTAGGGTAGCCTGGGGGATTGTTTGAAGGGAACCAAAAGGAAAACAATATCTTTGGGGTTTCCCCTATTAGGAAGATGCTGCTGATTTGTTCTTGGCTGAAGTTCCAAGACCCTGCGGTCGCAGCCCAAATATTGAATAAAAGTCAAGCAACTACACACCCGGGAAACTTTGCCGTGAACTCCTGGTGTGCTTGCAATTGGGGCATCCACCACACAAGCCGACATGCTTCTCCCAGCCGCAACTGCCTGACCATGGCGCTGATGTGATTTTTGTTGATGGACCCGCCCCTTTTACTTTGCCCCCTACCAGTTGCGGTTGTCCTTAGGAAAAAAGGGACTTTCCCTTTCAGCAGCTGGCCAATGTGCGAGTTTCAAGTACTTCGATACTGGTTGAACTGGCCTTCCAATGACAAGCTCTTTACTAAACCGCGGAGCGGCAACGATTTTTTGGTTGCGCACCTCGGCGCCGTAACAACTCTGGCCAGCTCGGACCCCTGCTGCGAATCTATCCCAGCCTCTCGAAGACTGGAGACTGGGCTGGAGTTGGTGACGGTTCCGCCGCCGCCTCCGCTGCCAGCCTTCAGGCGATCTCCAAACGAGTCAGGAGCAAAATCCCAGCACCAATAACACGCAAACCATATGACACACACACAGCAAAACGCAAAGTCCATGCCAAAGCCCCAGCCAGGCATCTGGTCAAAATCCATTTGGTGCCTCCCACTGGTCGATGTGATGGCTCTGCCAGCTTGGGGAAAAGGCACGGTGCCCCTTTTCGCTGGCTGAGCTTAAAGAAAAACTGGGGCCCACTCACTTGTAGGAGTATCGACCATCTAATACCACTGCAACGGACAAAGTCTGACTAGGCTTCATCCCCAGTCAGTCATAAGTCATGAGGGCAGCAATTTCCCGCCGAGCGACACCGTGGGAAGTGTATCACAAGGGGCCCCCGTTGATTCCTGCGGACCGCTGTCGCTTCTTTGCAAATGGGGATCCGTCTCTTCCGTCGCCTCCCGAAAATTGGAGACTGGGGAGTTGGCGATGGAGACGCTGCCGGCGCCAGCCTGCATGTTTGGGCAGAGTATTCTGGGCAGCTCGCAGGTGTCTGTTTGGTCAGCTGCTTGAAAATCAACCTGGAGAAATTTCGGTAGACTCAACAAACCAAAAACCCAGGAATTTGTGAAGCCCCAAGCAAAAAAGGGCGCTTCGGTATCTTCGGCTTCCCTGCCGGTGCCCTTAACGCCCGAACCATCGGGCGCTCGCCGCCGGAGCGGCTTCCGGCCCCTTGGCCGATGCTCGGCCTCTCGAAAACCGGAGACGCGGGTCTGGCCGGCGCCGGAGACGGTCTGGCCAAGGTATCCGCATCGGGAGACTGGAGTGACCTATGCAAGTGGGTTTGGTTGGTTTGGTTGGTTTGTTTGGTTTGGTTGGTTTGGTTGGTTTGGTTGGTTTGGTTGGTTTGGTTGGTTTGGTTGGTTTGTTTGGTTTGGTTGGTTTGTTTGGTTTGGTTGGTTTGGTTGGTTTGTTTGGTTTGGTTGGTTTGTTTGGTTTGGTTGGTTTGGTTGGTTTGGTTGGTTTACTTGGTTTGGTTGGTTTGGTTGGTTTGTTTGGTTTGGTTGGTTTGGTTGGTTTGGTTGGTTTGGTTGGTTTGGTTGGTTTGTTTGGTTTGTTTGGTTTGGTTGGTTTGGTTGGTTTGGTTGGTTTGGTTGGTTTGTTTGGTTTGTTTGGTTTGGTTGGTTTGGTTGGTGTGTTTGGTTTGGTTGGTTTGGTTGGTTTGGTTGGTTTGTTTGGATTGGTTTGGTTGGTTTGGTTGGTTTGGTTTGGTTTGGTTTGTTTAGTTTGGTTGGTTTGGTTGGTTTGGTTGGTTTGTTTGGTTTGTTTGGTGTTACTTGGTTGGTTTGGTTGGTTTGTTTGGTTTGGTTGGTTTGGTTGGTTTGTTTGGTTTGGTTGGTTTGGTTGGTTTCGTTGGTTTGTTTGGTTTGTTGGTTTGGTTGGTTTGGTTGGTTTGTTTGGTTTGGTTAGTTTGGTTGGTTTGGTTGGTTTGGTTGGTTTGGTTGGTTTGGTTGGTTTGTTTGGTTTGGTTGAGTTTGGTTGTTGGTTTGTTCAGTTTGGTTGGTTTGGTTGGTTTGTTTGGTTTGGTTGGTTTGTTTGGTTTGTTTGGTTTGTTTGGTTTGGTTGGTTTGGTTGGTTGGTTTGGTTGGTTTGGTTGGTTTGGTTGGTTTGTTTGGTTTGTTTGGTTTGGTTGGTTTGGTTGGTTTGTTTGGTTTGGTTGGTTTGGTTGGTTTGGTCGGTTTGGTTGGTTTGGTTGGTTTGGTTGGTTTGTTTGGTTTGTTTGGTTTGGTTGGTTGGTGTGGTTTGTTTGGGTTGTTTGGTTTGTTTGGTTTGTTTGGTTTGGTTGGTTTGGTTGGTTTGGTTGGTTTGTTTGGTTTGTTTGGTTTGGTTGGTTTGGTTGGTTTGTTTGGTTTGGTTGGTTTGGTTGGTTTGGTCGGTTTGGTTGGTTTGGTTGGTTTGGTTGGTTTGTTTGGTTTGTTTGGTTTGGTTGGTTGGTGTGGTTTGTTTGGGTTGTTTGGTTTGTTTGGTTTGTTTGGTTTGGTTGGTTTGGTTGGTTTGGTTGGTTTGTTTGGTTTGTTTGGTTTGGTTGGTTTGGTTGGTTTGTTTGGTTTGGTTTGGTTGGTTTGTTGGGTTGGTTTGCTTGGTTTGGTTGGTTTGGTTGGTTTGTTTGGTTTGTTTGGTTTGGTTGGCTTGGTTGGTTTGTTTGGTTTGGTTGGTTTGGTTGGTTTGGTTGGATTGTTTGGTTTGGTTGGTTTGTTTCGTTTGGTTGGTTTGGTTGGTTTGGTTGGTTTGGTTGGAAAGGTTGGTTTGTTTGGTTTGTTTGGTTTGGTTGGTTTGGTTGGTTTGTTTGGTTTGGTTGGTTTGGGTTGGTTTGCTTGGTTTGTTTGGTTTGGTTGGTTTGTTTGGTTTGTTTGGTTTGGTTGGTTTGGTTGGTTGGTTTGGTTTGTTTGGAAAGGTTGGTTTGTTTGGTTTGTTTGGTTTGGTTGGTTTGGTTGGTTTGTGTGGTTTGGTTGGTTTGGTTGGTTTGTTTGGTTTGTTGGGTAGGTTTGGTTTGTTTGGTTTGGTTGGTTTGGTTGGTTTGGTTGGTTTGTTTGGTTTGTTTGGTTTGGTTGGTGTGTTTGGATTGTTTGGTTTGGTTGGCTTGTTTGGTTTGGTTTGTTTGGTTTGGTTGGTGTGTTTGGTTTGGTTGGTTTGGTTGGCTTGGTTGGTTTGTTTGGTTTGGTTGGTGTGTTTGGTTTGTTTGGTTTGGTTGGTTTGTTTGGATTGTTTGGTTTGTTTGGTTTGTTTGGTTTGGTTGGTTTGTTTGGTTTGGTTTGTTTGGTTTGGTTGGTTTGGTTGGTGTGTTTGGTTTGTTTGGTTTGGTTGGTTTGGTTGGTTTGTTTGGTTTGGTTGGTTTGTTTGGTTTGTTTGGTTTGGTTGGTTTGGTTGGTTTGTTTGGTTTGTTTGGTTTGGTTGGTTTGTTTGGCTTGTTTGGTTTGGTTGGTTTGTTTGGGTTGGTTTGTTTGGTTTGGTTGGTTTGTTTGGTTTGGTTGGTTTGGTTGGTTTGTTTGGTTTGTTTGGTTTGGTTGGTTTGTTTGGTTGGTTTGTTTGGTTTGGTTGGTTTGTTTGGTTTGGTTGGTTTGGTTGGTTTGTTTGGTTTGTTTGGCTTGGTTGGTTTGGTTGGTTTGGTTGGTTTGGTTGGTTTGGTTGGTTTGGTTGGTTTGTTTGGTTTGTTTGGTTTGGTTGGTTTGGTTAGGTTGGTTTGTTTGGTTTGGTTTGTTTGGTTTGGTTGGTTTGTTTGGTTTGGTTGGTTTGGTTGGTTTGCTTGGATTGTTTGGTTTGGTTGGTTTGTTTGGTTTGGTTTGTTTGGTTTGGTTGGTTTGTTTGGTTTGGTTGGTTTGGTTGGTTTGGTTGGTTTGTTTGGTTTGGTTGGTTTGGTTGGTTTGTTTGGTTTGGTTGGTTTGTTTGGTTTGTTTGGTTTGTTTGGTTTGGATGGTTTGTTTGGTTTGGTTTGTTTGGTTTGGTTGGTTTGGTTGGTGTGTTTGGTGTGTTTGGTTTGGTTGGTTTGGTTGGTTTGTTTGGTTTGGTTGGTTTGTTTGGTTTGTTTGGTTTGGTTGGTTTGGTTGGCTTGTTTGGTTTGTTTGGTTTGGTTGGTTTGTTTGGCTTGTTTGGTTTGGTTGGTTTGTTTGGTTTGTTTGGTTTGGTTGGTTTGTTTGGTTTGGATTGTTTGGTTTGGTTGGTTTGTTTGGTTTGGTTGGTTTGGTTGGTTTGTTTGGTTTGTTTGGTTTGGTTGGTTTGTTTGGTTTGGTTTGTTTGGTTTGGTTGGTTTGTTTGGTTTGGTTGGTTTGGTTGGTTTGTTTGGTTTGTTTGGTTTGGTTGGTTTGTTTGGTTTGGTTTGTTTGGTTTGGTTGGTTTGTTTGGTTTGGTTGGTTTGGTTGGTTTGTTTGGTTTGTTTGGTTTGGTTGGTGTGTTTGGTTTGTTTGGTTTGGTTGGTTTGTTTGGTTTGGTTGGTTTGGTTGGTTTGTTTGGTTTGGTTGGTTTGGTTGGTTTGTTTGGTTTGGTTGGTTTGTTTGGTTTGTTTGGTTTGTTTGGTTTGGTTGGTTTGGTTGGTTTGTTTGGTTTGGTTGGTTTGGTTGGTTTGTTTGGTTTGGTTGGTTTGTTTGGTTTGGTTGGATTGTTTGGTTTGGTTGGTTTGGTTGGTTTGGTTGGTTTGTTTGGTTTGGTTGGTTTGGTTGGTTTGGTTGGTTTGTTTGGTTTGGTTGGTTTGGTTGGTTGGTTTGGTTTGTTTGGAAAGGTTGGTTTGTTTGGTTTGGTTGGTGTGTTTGGATTGTTTGGTTTGGTTGGTTTGTTTGGTTTGGTTGGTTTGGTTAGGTTGGTTTGTTTGGTTTGGTTTGTTTGGTTTGGTTGGTTTGTTTGGTGTGGTTGGTTTGGTTGGTTTGCTTGGATTGTTTGGTTTGGTTGGTTTGTTTGGTTTGGTTTGTTTGGTTTGGTTGGTTTGTTTGGTTTGGTTGGTTTGGTTGGTTTGGTTGGTTTGTTTGGTTTGGTTGGTTTGGTTGGTTTGTTTGGTTTGGTTGGTTTGGTTGGTTTGTTTGGTTTGTTTGGTTTGGTTGGTTTGGTTGGTTGGTTTGGTTTGTTTGGTTTGTTTGGTTTGGTTGGTGTGTTTGGATTGTTTGGTTTGGTTGGTTTGTTTGGTTTGGTTGGTTTTTGGTTGGTTTGTTTGGTTTGGTTTGTTTGGTTTGGTTGGTTTGTTTGGTTGGTTGGTTTGGTTGGTTTGCTTGGATTGTTTGGTTTGGTTGGTTTGTTTGGTTTGGTTTGTTTGGTTTGGTTGGTTTGTTTGGTTTGGTTGGTTTGGTTGGTTTGGTTGGTTTGTTTGGTTTGGTTGGTTTGTTTGGTTTGGTTTGTTTGCTTTGGTTGGTTTGTTTGGTTTGGTTGGTTTGGTTGGTTTGCTTGGTTTGTTTGGTTTGGTTGGTTTGTTTGGTTTGGTTTGTTTGGTTTGGTTGGTTTGTTTGGTTTGGTTGGTTTGGTTGGTTTGTTTGGTTTGTTTGGTTTGGTTGGTGGTTTGGTTTGTTTGGTTTGGTTGGTTTGTTTGGTTTGGTTGGTTTGGTTGGTTTGTTTGGTTTTTGGTTTGGTTGGGTTTGGTTTGTTGGTTTGTTTGGGTTGGTTTGTTTGGTTTGGTTGGTTTGGTTTGGTTTGTTTGGTTTGGTTGGTTTGTTTGGTTTGGTTGGATTGTTTGGTTTGGTTGGTTTGGTTGGTTTGGTTGGTTTGTTTGGTTTGGTTGGTTTGGTTGGTTTGTTTGGTTTGGTTGGTTTGGTTGGTTTGTTTGGTTTGTTTGGTTTGGTTGGTTTGGTTGGTTGGTTTGGTTTGTTTGGAAAGGTTGGTTTGTTTGGTTTGGTTGGTGTGTTTGGATTGTTTGGTTTGGTTGGTTTGGTTGGTTTGGTTTGTTTGGTTTGGTTGGTGTGTTTGGTTTGGTTGGTTTGGTTGGTTTGGTTGGTTTGCTTGGTTTGGTTGGTGTGTTTGGTTTGTTTGGTTTGGTTGGTTTGTTTGGTTTGGTTGGTTTGGTTGGTGTTTGGTTTGTTTGGTTTGATTGGGTTGTTTGGTTTGGTTGGTTTGTTTGGTTTGGTTGGTTTGTTTGGTTTGTTTGGTTTGTTTGGTTTGTTTGGTTTGGTTGGTTTGGTTGGTTTGTTTGGCGTGTTTGGTTTGTTTGGTTTGTTTGATGTGGTTGGTTTGTTTGGTTTGTTTGGTTTGTTTGGTTTGGTTGGTTTGTTTGGCTTGTTTGGCTTGTTTGGTTTGTTTGGTTTGGTTGGGTTGTTTGGTTTGTTTGGTTTGTTTGGTTTGGTTGGATTGTTTGGTTTGTTTGGTTTGGTTGGTTTGGTTGGTTTGTTTGGCTTGTTTGGTTTGTTTGGTTTGTTTGGTTTGGTTGGTTTGTTTGGTTTGATTGGTTTGTTTGGTTTGTTTGGTTTGTTTGGTTTGTTTGGCTTGTTTGGTTTGGTTGGGTTGTTTGGTTTGTTTGGTTTGTTTGGTTTGTTTGGCTTGGTTTGTTTGGTTTGGTTGGTTTGTTTGGTTTGGTTGGTTTGCTTGGTTGGTTTGGTTTGTTTGGTTTGATTGGTTTGTTTGGTTTGTTTGGTTTGTTTGGTTTGTTTGGTTTGGTTGGATTGTTTGGTTTGTTTGGTTTGTTTGGTTTGTTTGGTTTGTTTGGTTTGTTTGGTTTGTTTGGTTTGCTTGGTTTGGTTGGTTTGTTTGGTTTGTTTGGCTTGTTTGGTTTGTTTGGTTTGTTTGGTTTGGTTGGTTTGGTTGGTTTGTTTGGTTTGTTTGGTTTGTTTGGTTTGTTTGGCTTGGTTGGGTTGTTTGGATTGTTTGGTTTGTTTGGTTTGTTTGGTTTGGTTGGTTTGTTTGGTTTGTTTGGTTTGTTTGGTTTGTTTGGTTTGTTTGGTTTGTTTGGTTTGGTTGGATTGTTTGGTGTGTTTGGCTTGGTTGGTTTGTTTGGTTTGGTTGGTTTGTTTGGTTTGTTTGGTTTGTTTGGTTTGTTTGGTTTGGTTGGGTTGTTTGGTTTGGTTGGTTTGGTTGGTTTGGTTGGTTTGTTTGGTTTGGTTGATTTGGTTGGTTTGTTTGGTTTGTTTGGTTTGTTTGGTTTGGTTGGTTTGGTTGGTTTGGTTCATCTGGTTGATTTGTTTGGTTTGTTTGGTTTGTTTGGTTTGTTTGGTTTGTTTGGTTTGGTTGGTTTGTTTGGCTTGTTTGGTTTGTTTGGTTTGTTTGGTTTGTTTGGTTTGCTTGGTTTGGTTGGTTTGTTTGGTTTGGTTGGTTTGTTTGGTTTGTTTGGTTTGCTTGGTTTGGTTGGTTTGTTTGGTTTGGTTGGTTTGTTTGGTTTGTTTGGTTTGCTTGGTTTGTTTTGTTTGGTTGGGTTGTTTGGTTTGTTCGGTTTGTTTGGTTTGGTGTGTTTGGTTTGGTTGGTTTGTTTGGTTTGGTTGGTTTGGTTGGTTTGTTTGGTTTGGTTGGTTTGTTTGGTTTGTTTGGTTTGTTTGGTTTGTTTGGTTTGTTTGGTTTGCTTGGTTTGGTTGGTTTGTTTGGTTTGGTTGGTTTGTTTGGTTTGTTTGGTTTGCTTGGTTTGTTTTGTTTGGTTGGGTTGTTTGGTTTGTTTGGTTTGCTTGGTTTGTTTGGTTTGGTTGGTGTGTTTGGTTTGGTTGGTTTGTTTGGCTTGTTTGGTTTGTTTGGTTTGTTTGGTTTGTTTGGTTTGGTTGGTTTGTTTGGTTTGGTTGGTTTGTTTGGTTTGGTTGGTTTGGTTGGTTTGGTTGGTTTGTTTGGTTTGGTTGATTTGGTTGGTTTGTTTGGTTTGGTTGGTTTGTTTGGTTTGGTTGGTTTCTTTGGTTTGGTTGGTTTAGTTGTTTTGTTTGGTTTGGTTGGTTTGGTTGGTTTGGTTGGTTTGGTTCATCTGGTTGATTTGGTTGGTTTGCTTGGTTTGGTTGGTTTGTCAATCCTAGATGTCCAAAACTTGAGAGCATTGGATCCCAACGGACCGTGATCTACTTTTCTCTAGCCATGAAACAGGCAGCTGACCATGAGTCCTCTTCCCTTCAAAGTGGGTACAGTGAAGATTCTCAACAATGTATTTGGGGAGAGTTTCGAAAAAGCACCCATTTAGGCCAGGGTGGTGTCGTTTGGATGTTCGATGCAAAGTTGGAGGGTGTTGAAAGGACCCGACCCAAGGGCCCCGTGTTGGGGCGGAACTTAGCAGGCTTCCTTTTATGTCTCCCTGCAACAAAGAAACTGAAGCAACACGCCCAATTGAATTCTGTGAGCGTGGGCCCCAAAGGCCAAAGTGGGCCATCCTCATGCGTTTTGTAGCGCTGGGTCCAATTTACTGCAGCAAGTGGCTGTCATTTCCTCAATCCAATTCTGATTCAAGGGGATGCCCTCAAGGCCTCGAAAGGGGTCACCGGTTTCGACCTTTGCTGGACCCGCCTCTCGTCTTTGGCCGGCAACCGCGCGGCCTCCCAAAACAAAACGGCCCCACGTGCTAAGGGCCTCAAGGCATCCCAAGCTTCACACTACGAAGGCTTGGGAAGCCTTGGGATGCTGAAAGAATGTATTTGAATTTCCTTTCCCAAATGTGCTCACTGGCGGCGAAGGTTCTTTGCGGGCTCTTCAATGCATCCTGACTCCGAGCGAAAACCACACTACTTTGGTGGCTTCCGAGCCAAACAAAACCGAAAGGGACGTCACAAGATCTACAAACTGCCAATGGCGGTTGAAGCCCCACCCCTCCATGGGAAACCAACGCAAATCCTTTCGCAAGGGAATCTTGGAAGCCTTTGAGATCCAAACGACTGGAAAAAACGGCGTTCGCCAGCCACCAAAAGTCAGTATCCCGGCCAACTCCGTATTTGGAGAACCTTATGCCACATTTGTTGACCTACGAGATCCTCAGTTGCCCAAAGCACAACTAAAAGTAAGGGGTGAACCTTTTGAGGGCCACCAAACATGGACCTTTTTGTGATCCCATCCACAACTGCGTCAAAGCGCGCGCCTCCGGGCTCGGCGTCCTGGCATGTCGGGTGCGACCCGAAAGGAAGCCAAGTCGTGCCTAAAGCTCAGGGGAAACCTGGCAGTTCCCCCCAAAACAAAGAGGAGAAACCAAGAAAGTGCGCCACTGAAGAATAGGCCCGTTTGGGGTTGTTTTAAAGGGAAACCCAAAGGAAACCTGCCATTTCGGAACCGGCTCCCCTGTCTCACAAAGCCATGGGCGACCCCAAAATGGATTTCGGCTTTCATTTTAATTTCCCTTTCAACCAACCTGAAGCCCCCCAAATAGACTCCACATACCATCAGAAAGCTCACCCCCATACAATCAAACTGGGCGTGCTTTCTTTGGGGGGAACCCAATTTTTGATGGTTTTAGAAGGGCGCTAAAAGGAAAAAACTCCATTTTGGGCTCCTCCACAAAAAAAAATACACTCACAACTGAAACCAGTGGAGCCCGGGATCCCGACACAGCACGAAAATCAGTCCTCTTCGGCTCCGCTGGTGGCAGCTCCACCTGCAGGGAAGCCGTCAGGCGAGCGGGCGGCCGGGCGGGTGGGTGGGTGGGTGGGTGGGTGGGTGATGGAAAGGGAAACCACCAAGCCCTACCGCAAAAAAAACTTATATTTAGGATCTTGGCCTGAGGAAAAGGGGACATTGTTGCTAGCGAGAGGCTCTGGATGTCAATTGAAAAGAACCAAAGGAAACCAAGAGGCTGTCCTTTGAAGCGGGGGTTCAATTCCTAGCGCACATCCCGGACACAAGTCTCCTTTTGGGGGTCGAGAAATTCCCATCCCTTGTTGCACATTCCAGCTCTTGGTGTGTCCAAAACCGCGCCAATTGAACTGGGGGGAACAATCATCTGCAAACTGTACAATCATTCCAAAGCCTAAAAAACAAGTGATGCCCTGCCAAAGGACCTACATCATGGCGGGCTCGCTCTACCCAAAATTACGCTCTACCCAAAAAGCGATGAGGTCACCGCAAAATAGGCAAAGCCATGTAGAATTCATGTTGCGGACTGTTGCCAGCGCTCTTCAAGGCAAAGCCTCACTGGTGGGACGGCCGGGTCACATTCATACGGGTGTGTGTGTGTGTGTGTGTGTGTGTGTGTGTGTGTGTGTGTGTGTGTGGGGTGTGTTGTGTTGTGTATGTGTGTGTGTGTGACGCAACTCTTCGTCGAGTTCGATTTTAAAGGGAAAAAGGACCCCCCCCCCATGTTGCAGGCCATCGCAATGCTTTGTTCTCTTGTCCGCTCCCTGCTTTGAGAATAACACACGGGTGTGTCTAAACCCCCAAAATAGTAAGTTTCCTTCTGTGGTCCTTGAAGGGGTCCTCTCAAAATGACACACCCCTGGTCAGAGACATCTGAAGGATCCCATGCCTTGTCCGCGGCGTAGAACAGGAGGCTGGCACGTTGCTCCTGGAGAACGAATTGTGTCAAGATCCCCTTGCCGGGCCCCTAGAAAATCGGTAGCGTCCTCTCGGCGTCTCTAAAAAATCCGTCCAAAATGCGACGTTGTTCTTTCTATCTTGGGAATTTGTGAGGGTAGGCTTGACAAGGGACCCAGCAGAAACGGTCGAAGAATCGAAGAATCAAGGAGTCGAAGAATCGAGGCCCCTCCTTGTCAAGCCGGGTCTGGACTTTGTACACGTGTGGGAAAACATGGAGCAACTTCAGGGTTGCTCGCGAAAAGGGGTCCCTAGGTTTCGGACAAATCAAAACCCAGGTTCCCGGGTGGCTGCACTTAAGCCCTGGCATGCAAGAAGGATAGACCATGCCCGAAACCCCCTGGAACGCTCCCCGAAAGCTGCTCCAAACTACTCCAGAGCTTGTCTGGCTTCTCTGGGCAGAGACCCTAGCTTTCAGCTGTTGGGCGAAAAGAATATGACCAGCCCCACCAACACCCAAGCCTTGGCAAAAATGTTTGAGGATCACCGGCAAGTCCCGGAACCAGGCAAGAATCAAACCTATCGAGAAGTTGAACAGCCCATTATGGATGCAGATTGGCAGGTGGCGCAATTGTCAAACTCCCAGAACCTTCTGAGACACTTGGCTCGCTCGGAGAGTTATCTATGGGGGGGGGCGCGAAATTCCCCAGAAGTCGGAGTTCACCTCTTTTCTGATATGTTCCCGCTGCTGGCTCCCCCTTTCACATTGCAATGTGCCTGAGGGTGCCACTGTAGGAAGCCAAAAAGACGCTTTCGCAGCGGGATGCCTGGACGGTTGCCCAAGGGACCGGGTAGACGCTAGCGTCGTCCATCACGTACCACCTGGGATTTCCAACCACCCCTGAGCCTCGCGCAAAGGCGCAGCTTTCACAGGGACTTCAGCCAAGTGAAAGTTGACAAACACAAATGTTGGGTCTCGAGCACTAACTGGTGAGTGCAAAAGCTGGGTGTTCACTGGCCAGTGCAAAGTGTAAGCATTCAAATCAAGCTGGCACTCGGGAAGGGATGAGCTCCGGGACCTAGGGCACAGATTACCTTGAGTCCATTGCAAGCTTGAAATCACTGCCAGTACTGTGGAGGGGACATGTTTCTCACCAAAGCCATAAAGGAAAGGATGAAAATCCGGTGACCCATAAAGGAAAGCCTCAAGACTCTGCTGTTGGATGGCCTTCGGAATTTCCAGGCCGAAGCGTGCGTGCGGCCGACCCCTTCCCTCTAACTTCCCTTAAACAAGCCCAAAAAAAGGGGTGTCAACATCAAAAGCACAGGCCCTGCCAGGTCTTGAGCGGCACCTGAGGCGCCCAGCCGGTTGGCAGCGGTCTTGACCTGCCAGGGGCAAAATACAAGATGGGCAAAAGGATCCGAGCTCCGGGAAGAAATGAAAACCAAATATGGTGGCAAATGACTACAATTCACCCAGGACTAGTGAACTTCCCTTTGCTAAGGATCTTCATGGGTGAGTTTGTAGCACCATCTGTGCCATTGCTTGGCACCCCAAGCCAACAGGACCCCCAACCAGCATGAGCTCGTCTTTCGTCTGTCGTCTGATTACCTCATGCTCTCGGCTTCCAAGGGCCCAAGAGCTCTCCAAAAACCAGACACGCTCTCCGAACCGAATGCTGCTTGGATTCGACATATTCAAAGGAGCCGAACCAATTGACACTATGCGACCAATTCGCATGCAGGCAAATCCAGGCAAATCCAAACTCCAGCTCAAGCCGGGCGGACATAAGCGATGTAGTGCCCGAAGAACGTCGAGCGGTTCACGTCCTTATGCACCTGAGCCATGCAAAAAGAAACAAAGCGAATCTATTGTGAAGCTGGTTGTTGCCCCAAAAAACACACACACACACCTCCACTTTTCGTCCAGTTTAGTCTTCTCCAAGGGAGTGTGTTTGGTGGGGTGGGGCATGTTGTGGGTCGCCAAACATACTGCACCGCCCGATATGGACAAAATCCTTCCCGGGTTGGAAAGAGATAAGTTCGAGTTACAAAACAAACAGCGTCTGACTCCGGCAGTAGTTTTGCCAAGTTGGGCAGGCCTATAGCAATTCGACCGACAAAAAGCTGGGAGAAAGGAGCCAAACACATTGGGTGAGCCCCTGATATAGCTATATAAATTGTGATCCATATGGATAAGAGCTACCTAGAAGCAATAAAGTTGCCTGGTGGACCCTCCCAAACATAAGCCAGGCAAGCTCACCTGTGGCAAAGATAGGGCTTACTCATCGCACAATTGCACCGACTTCCAAATTCTACTAATTGTGTCTCAGCACGCCAAACGGCATGCAATGAACAACTGCTCAGAATCAGGACCAGAAGCAAATGAGGCGAAGGCTTGCCCCTAGACAAAAAAATGCCGGGAATCAAGGACTCCAGTCCGACGACTACGTGGCCCATTCCAACACCATCCTGGTCACGGTAAAGACACGGGGGAGGGACGGGGTATGGGGGTTGGGCCTGTGCCTGTCCAGCGAACCCATAATCCAGTTGTAGCGATCCAGCTGAGTTCATAACAACACGCCACTACCCATGCAACATTGGATCCATGCCGAGCGCCCTTCCCAGCGCATCTTGTCATCCGCTGAACAGCTATCGTGGCGCAGCATGTCCAGGCGTGGCAGCGTGAATGCAGACCATGACTCTCCACAAATTTGAGCATCAGCTCGAAGGGGTGGTTCTGCAGCGTCAGTTTCGCGTGTCCACATCCGGATTGGATTTCTGCCTTGAGGCACCAGAGCCAGCTGATGTGAGTGGGACCAGCCACGAAGCGTGGTTCAATCCAGCCAAGAAGAAAACGTAGCTCCTGCCTGGGTTCCTTCAGTTCTGATATCGGATGGATTCATGCCCCAAAGTGGAAGCCCGCTTTTCAGGCTCGCACACCGCCAAAGCATCACCCCCGCAAGCTCTTTCTGACGGGTTGTGCTTGTTCGCGGGGAAAAAACACCCAAAACTGGGTGAATCCCATGGTTCGCCTTCCTCTCTGATGCCAGGTCCTCTTTCCCGCAATGGAACAAACTGGCTCTCGTACAAGTGACGCCCAAGCTGACCCTTCCAAAACCCCGAGCCGAACGGCATCAACCATCAAAAGCGACCTTGAAACTACTCCAAGAGGGCCCCTGCCGCCCCAGGACAAGGCGCCACCACGCCGTAGAGCTGGTACCCGCCCCTGGGCGCCTCTTCAGGCAGGCGCGGGAAAGCCCCCTGTTTGGGCGGTCTGAAAGGGGCACGAAAGGGAAAACCCGTGTTCCCATGTGTGGAGATTTTGTCCAGGGCTGACAGAATCCTAAGGTCGGGGATGGTCCTTCTTTAGGACTTTAAGGCGAACTCCTATCGACCTTCGTTTTCGGACTACGACCTTACAGGTGGGTGACAGTAGATGGTAGTTACCCTTGTTGTTTTGAGAATCTTGATGCTTACGCACAAGGGAATAGTGCCATGAACTAACTTTGGCATGGTGCACAGCTACGCTTCTGGGACCTTGGACACACATGCCTTGGCTTTGGGAAAAAATCTTCGGGGCGAGCGAAAAGGCGAGGCGTTGGTTTCCCCCGATGCTTCTCCGCTTGTTTGTGGACGGCAACTACATGTCAAGCTCCATGCCTCCTCACCCGAACCCTCATCAAAATGGGAAGTCGGTTCAAATCCCTTCTTGCAAGCCACCCTGCGGTTTGAGGCAAAACACGCCCATGGAAGAAAAAAAAAAGGTTGGAGATGTGCCAAAACCGGGGCCCCCGGAGAAAGGCGCTTCCTTCCGGTGTCCCTTTCAACCCGTCGAACCCAAAATCCCGCGAGGCCCCTCTGATCCACCTCCAAGAGGCTCGACAGCTCCAGCCGCTCCGGGAACCTCCCGAAAGGCGCCCAAAGGAACCACCGAAGGGCGGGCGAACGGGTGAAGCTCCAACCGGTCAGAGGGCCAAGGTCTTGAAGCAGTCTCTGGAGTTGGTACAGCCATGTAATTGCATCCAACAAAAAGGCGATTTCCGAGTTTAGACCCACCCCCACCCCCAGCAATGTTGCCTCTGCTCAAGTGCATTTGCCGCAAAAGTCCACTTTGAGCTTGCCAACGCTAAAAAATCCAGAAACTGAGGGAGAGAGTATTGGCAGTGGAGCCTTTCTTGATACATTGTAACAAGGAACTAAATAATTACACGCATTGTTTCATGAACATGTCTTAACTTGGTCTTAAGGTGCTCCATAACCTCATTGTACTCATTCAGGCCCTCAAGCAGAATCACATGGCGGGGTTGCTCCGAAAGCTTTGGTAAGGATAGATTCACAGGTTCAACCGTGCTGACATGACCTAAGAGTGTGCTCAAGGCAGGCCCTAAAAATCTAAGCAACCGCTGGCAAGCAAGAGCCTGGCCAAAAGCAGCATCAACTGTGCCTCGCTGCAGAATAAGGCCGTGAGCCGCAAAAAGATTCAATCAGCACAGTTCAACAAACAACGTTGAGCTTCAGCACATGGAGGTAGAGAAGTCAAGAAATCAGCAGCAGAGCAATACAAACACAGCAAAGCACATGAGTCATGATCAACACCTGGTATCAAACATGGCCCACCCAGAACCATGTAAGGAATTGAAAAAGGCGGCTGCGCCCATTTGGCCATGGGTCAAAATCCCGTACCCCCAGTAAACCCAATCCCCACTAAAATAGGTTCCAAAATGGGTGGTGCACCGAAAACCCCAAAATGAGATCCCAAAACGGTTTTGACAACCACAGCCATTTATGGTTGGGATGCGAAACCTTACTTCCCTCTACCCGAGCTTTCCAGGGCTGGAAACGGGGACCCCGGCTCCACGAAGCGGTTGATCTTGCCGAAGCGGCTCGAGTCCTGGCCAGGCGGACCGAGAGACACGTTCACCGCTTCAGTGGACTGAGCGGTGACCATGGGTATGGGGCTGCGGCTCCAAAACATGTACCAAAGTGTTACCTTGGCAAATGGGACCAAAGACCAAAACTTGCGTAATCCTAGCTCTTTAATTTTGAGCCACACCCATGGCAAAATAGTTGGACCCACAAAACGGTGCCTCTCCCCTGACGTGTTTCCCCAAAGTAACTTGAGAAGGCGCCCTCGGGAAAACAGCACACACACACACACACATTTGCTGACCAAGTTAAGCCTACCAATCATATCACACTCAGGCACCATTCTTTGACTTCGACTTAACCCCAGAAATGGCGGAAGTTCTGCTAAGGGAGAACCCTGGGTTTGAGGCTACTGAGTGTTGTGCTGAAAAAATGGAACCCTGGTGCTTGTCTCAAGATTAGACCCAACAAATGGTGTTCTTTGCACTTCCCTAAGGGTTGTTGAGTGGGGATCCCAAATCCATCCGTGATACGGAGTGGGACACCACTGCAACTTCCCGGCATAAGGACAAAGGATTGAATAGGAACAGCCCAGCTGTTAGGGCGCGCAACCCCCATGTCGGAGGGCATGCCCAGCTTCTGGAACCCGTGTAAAAGCATCTGCGGACCTGAATCTGGCCTGCGTGTTCTGCCGGGGGGCATACATTCTGGCCATCCCCTTCGCTTGCAACGCCGTCTCCGGTGGGTAGCCCTGGAAAACCTCTTCCCCTGAAAACTCCGTCCCATGGGCCCAAGGGCAGCAAAACAAAAAATATTGGCCAGACTCGGACCCCTGCAAGAGTTGGCCGCCTTCCCCAAATTTCCCGGGCAAGGGTCCTGGCGCCGGTCGATATAGACCACCAGAACGTTGGGCTTGTTCTTGATGTGGGCGCTGCGCTTGCAACCTATCCTGGGCATACGCTCTGTATGGACCCATACCCGAACCGGGTCATAAACCCAGTAGATCCCATTTGTATTTGTGGGCATTATGAATCCTTCATGTTTAACAAGCCTAAAAATATGAAACACCCAGCTTCCTGGACATGGTGCAGCCAGTTGCTTAAACCTCCTCCAATGGCTTCTTCAAACGGGGCATGATCCGGTTTCCCTTTGGAACCAGGAAAAGTGATGCACGCACCCATATAATCCGGGTGAGTTATAATATTTCACCAGCCTGAAATAAGGTGGTTCCGGGGTTATTCCCCACATAAACCATTTGGGATGAATTCGGTCGTGTGAGGTCGGTACAATTCACCCATATGAGATGTATTCTGATGAGACCCCACAAAAACCCAACCCAAGCCGATGGGAAGATGTGCCGAGTCGCCTCCGGTGGCACTTCTCACACTCGTAGCCCTCGATCTCCTCCACCCTGCCGCTCGTTGAACGGGTTCTAAGAGATGGGTGGGTCTCCAAGTGGGGGGATCCCTGAAAATGTGTCTGTGACACCCTGTAAAACCTGTTGAGTTCCCTGTCAAAACCCTACAGTAACCAAGTAGGGGGTTCCTTTTGAGTTCCCTGTCACTCAAAGTATGTGTATTTTCCTTTGAAAACCCCTCTAAAGAAACAACCAATGAGTTCCTTTTGCGGATGCAACAAAAACACCGGGCCGAATGGATCAAACCAACTTGCTAGTTTCCTCAAAAGAGCTCAGTCTAGCAATGTGTTGGAGCATCATTCACCCCCCTTAGAACTGGTCGGAAACTGCTTCTGTTGGGGTCCCACTTACTAACAGGAGCAAGAAAGATCCAAACGATTCACCAACTGTGCCAAGAAACCAAGCGTTCGAAATGATGAACTACAACAGCCACAAATTGGGCTTTCGGTCATGTGCCAAATTCCGGCATGGGAGCAACGCACCACCGAATGGTCAGATCATTCATGGGTTCTTTGATTTCTTTGCTGAAGGTTAAGTTGGGCAAACTAGAAATAAAAAACATTTGAACATCTGTGTTGCCTCATGGGTGTAACAGCAATGGTTCTCATTTTGGGAAATCAACCAACTGCTTAAAGCTAGATGAAATGAGACCCGGCAACCAGCCCATGGTTGAGGGTGCTCCAACCATACAAATCTAAGATGGCTGCTAATCAACTACCCCCCACTGACGTGGGATTTGGTGAGCAACCTCCGTTTCTCAATGGCAGGTGCCCTATGCCATCCCCTTTACCGCAGATGCAGATGACAGCAAATACTGACTACACAGAGGAGCCTGTCCTTTTGCTGAGGGCTATATACCTTTTTGGCGGGTGTGCTAGAGCGAAACCAAAGAGACGCCACTTACTTTAGTGTGCCTCTACAAAAACAACACACACACACACAAAATACGGTCCCAAACAATTACAATTGGGGTGTGAACCACTTTGAAACCAAGCTAGTCATAATTGGAGCAAACTACTCGTAATGATTTAGCCCTTTAGAGGACCCTTTATAGGACCCTTCTCTTTGTTGCTCTGCCCCCATCTCCCTCCCAATCTGCTCCTGGCGTAGGCATGGAGCACCTCCTGCAATGTGGTCGGGGATGGCTCCTCAGCAAGGGGAGAAGTGGATGATGAGGATGAGGATGATGAGGATGATGAGGATGAGCATGAAAAAGATGATGCAGATGATGAGGATCAGGATGATGAGGATGATGAGGATGAGCACGATGAAGATGATGAAGATGATGAGGATGATCAAAATAATAGTAATAATAATAAGGATGAGGATGATGAGAATGAGGATGATGAGGACGATGAGGACGATGAGGATGATGAGGATGATGAGGATGATGAGGATGATGAAAAAGAATGATAAGAATGAGAATAATGGGGATGAGGATCATGAGCATGATAAGGATGGCATTATGAAAATACTGAAGATGAAGATAATGAGAATAAGGAGGATAATGAAAATAATAAGGATGATGAGGATGCTAATGAGGATACGGATGAGAATGATGAGAATAATGAGGATGACGAGGATGATGAAGATGATGAGGATGAGGAGGATGAGAAGGATGAGGACGATGATGAGGATGATGAGGATGAGGATGAGGATGATGAGGATGATGAGGACGATGAGGATGATGAGGATGACGATGATAAGGATAAGAATCATAAGGATGATTAGGACGAGGAGGATGATAAGGATGACGAGGATGATGAGAATGACGAGGATGAAGAAAATGAGGATGATGAGGACGATGAGGATGAGGATGATGAGAATGAGGATGATGAGGACAATGAGGATGATGAGGATGATGAGGATGAGGATGAGGATGAGAGCATGATGAGGATGAGGATGATGAGGATGATGAGGATGAGGATGAGGATGAGAGCATGATGAGGATGAGGATGATGAGGATGATGAGGATGAGGATGATGAGGATGATGAGGATGATGAGGATGAGGATGAGGGTGATGAGCATGATGAGGATGAGGATGATGAGGATGAGGATGATGAGGAGAAAGATAAGGATGAGGATGAGGAGGATGAGGAGGATGAGGAGGATGAGAATGATGAGGATGAGGATAAGGATGATGAGGATGAGGAGGAAGAGGATGAGGATGATTATGACAAGGATGATGAGGATGATGCGGATGATGATGAGGATGATGAGGATGATGATGAGGATGATGGATGATGAGGGCTAACTCCGAAAGGCGCCAACGGGTTGCCCACAGAGACAATGTGAGGGGGATCTGGCCCGCTGACGGCTCTCACCATGAATGTGACTTCTCTGTTCTCCCGCATAGCTATTGTGCGCTCAATGGTGTTCACACTGGCGCTGATCAGTGAGACAGCTTTGACACAGAAGGGCCAGGAAATCCTTACCAAGCAGCTTGAGCAAAGTGGTCGTTGTGTTGTTTGGGGCTGTCCCATCCCAGGCCACGGTGTCACATCATCACAGGGTGTGGCTATACTTGGAGGCCCAGGCGTTGCTCTGGCAAGTCATTTGCAATACGCCTATCAGGAGGGCTGCTTGAGGAGACAGATCTTTTATCCGCCGGTAAGCTTGATAATTTGCAGCAGCAACTTGAGGATTGGCAGATTGAGGCTGCTTTTTCCACTTGGGTAAGAGCTGCAGAGGAGGCACTTGCTATGCGTTGTGTGACTTGTAGGCACTTCGGGCGCGACCGCGACCCGCGACTGCGCCACTGTGCTGAGATTTCCCACCAGGGAAAAATGTTGCATGTTGATGTCGATTTGCGTTGCCTGGAAAAGGCACGGAACGCACTTGCTGAATTGCTTGGTAGACCCCACTGAGACCCGCAGGCTTGGCAAAGTACTGTTCGCAACGCCTGTCGCGGTTTGTTTGCCTGAGGGGACGCCGCCAGGCGCCCCTACTTGTGAGGATGTGAAGCAGCTGCATGTGTCAGTCAGTGCCGAAATTGATCGCCGGCATAGTCAGCCGCCTTGAAGGAATGGGAGAATTTGCATGCAGTCGCAGACTGCGCGGATACAGTGGGCCAAAGCCGAGCGCCAGCCTTGGGTAAGTGTCGCCAGCAATGCGCAAGCTTTCGATGCTGTGGAACAGGTTTGGTTGCCGATTCTCAGAGGGCAGCACAACCGAGCTTGATTGCGAAGGGCTGGCAAGGTCTCCTTGTTCTGCGGCTGCACGTGTCTTGCAGGTTGCGTGTAAGCGGAGACGAGCTGAGGGCTGCATTGCAGAACATGCCTGCTCACACAAGCGCAGGCGCCGATGGGTGGCGTCCTCAGGAGCTTTTGGCCTTGCCGGCCTCACTGTGGCGCGCACTTGGTTTGGTGTTGGCTGAGGTTGCCAAAGCTGCCGCGTGGCCGCTGCCCCTCAAAACAGTGGTCACTTCACTGATACCCAAAAAACCCGAGGCCCCATCCCCAGAAAGAAAAGTCCCACCCAAAGTGTCAAGCACGCTTGTGTGAGGAATCAGCACTCTATCCACAGAAAGATGCAGAGGCGGAGCCCCGGGCTTGCGCAAGCCCATCAGCATTTGCTTGCCTCCAGCGCAAGGCCTCTGCGCTGCAGCCATTGGTCCCAATAGCGAGCGCCTCAAACAAATCTTGCGAGTCCTCTCCAAAGAGCAGAAAGTCATCAGCGTACTGCGACACCTGAACAGAGGGCCAAGTGCTACATATGTGCCGAACGGGCTCCAACAGAAAGGCGGACAAAGCAGCAGGAGCGCATGGGTCACCCTGAAAAAGACCATGCGCTGGCCGCAGAAGGGCTAACCGCCAGGCAACCAAGGAATCACGGACCAAGGCCCAGGGCAGACTATCGAAGCATTTGCGAATACCATAAGCAACAAGATAAAGAGGCTGCTTGCACACATGCGTCGTCTGGCATCGGAGCAAGGCGCATGTCATGGCCACCTGCGCGCTCTAGCAAGGTCTAAAACCGTGCGCAGAGTCAGGTAAGGGTGTGCAATGCTGCCCTACCAAAAGGGGGCAAGACTTATGACTAATTTCTGGCCACCGTTGAGCGACTTGGTTGCCTTGAAGTTGGATGGGATGAGCGAGCTCGTGATACCACAGCTCTTATGGGCGTCTTGACTTATCACGCTGCTACGCTTGATCCAAGCGACGTACCGCCCCAAGCCCCACGCCAAGTCGTGAACGCCTTGGCTGGGGGCGGCAAAGTAGACACTCGCAGATGTGCGGAGGTTGCCCTCTCGCTTCATGCGCCAGTGCATGGGGTGTCCCTGTCCAGTGCAATTTTGCACGAGCAGGTAGCCGTGCTCATGCGGGTTCTCATGAGTGGTAGTCAAGGTCGAGCTGTGGTTCGGGAGCACTTTGAAGCTTGCTCAGCCAATTCTTGCGCAGGTGCTTTCTTTGCAGTATTTTCTGGCACGCTCGGTCAGCTTGGTTGGTCTTTGGTCTGCTTGGAAGCAACTGACAACTTGCAGCGGCGCACCACATGGCAGACCAGACGAAACGAGTGGCGGGAATCCCTTGAGTCCAGCGCGAGCATGTCGCCAAACGAGCTCATGAACTTTGCAGTGTATCGTCTTCGGGCTTGGACCACCTTGCACAAGACTGTGTCTCATGAGCATGGGCAGAAAATCTTGCATGATCTTAGAGATTCCATGCGATCTCACGCATTGCTGGCAGCGCAGCGGCGCCGCCGTGACATGAGCGAAGTGAGCTTGGCTCAGAGAGGTGCTGGCGCTGGGATTCGCATCTGTCGAACCGGCTGACCGTCCACTCCTGCGCTTCCTGCAGCAGGGGGCGGCGCTGACCAGTGATAGGATCAGCCGATCCTCCAGAGGAGTGGAATCTCCTATTTGCCCTCACTGCCACACTTGTGTTGAGACAGAGTCGCACCGGTACTGAGATTGCCCCTCCTGGAAAGAGAAGCGTTCGGCAATTAAAGCTTGGTGCGCAGTGTGACAACATTTTGCGTGAGCTGCGAGGCCTTGGCAACGTTGCTGCCACTTGTGCTATCCCGACCTCCTCCTTGTCGCCTTTGCTCATCAGTCATTGGGGTGCTGTTGCCATTCATCAGGCAGCAGAGCAGGCAAGGCAGGCGCAGTTGCTAGCATGATTAGTTGGATGGCTTGAACTGTATATGGCGTGTGGCAGTTGGTCCTTGCATGGCACTTTGCTTTGACCTTTGGCTGGCTTACCCGCCAAAGGGCCATTTTGGATTTAGCCAGTGTGATGCGTGGGCCTCTCCACGCCTTGCTGGATGTTGCACGTTCTTTCCTCACACTTTTGCCGTGCTTGCCGCTTAGCGGCCAACTTGCAACCATGTAAGACAATTTCGGGGCTGTTGTCAACCTGCTTCCTGCTTGATGTGTGTTGCCTCGTGTGACCTGTTTGCAGTGCAAGCGGTGTTCGCCGCTCCCTCGCCTTTTCGGCGTAAAGGGTATTCGATGAGGACGATGAGGATGATGAGGATGATGAGGATGAGGATGGTGATGATGAAAATAAGGATGATGAGGATGAGAATAAGGAGGATGAGGAGGATGAGGAGGATGAGGAGGATGAGGATGAGGATGAGGAGGATGAGAAGGAGGATGCGAATGATGAGGATGATGAGGATGGGAGGATGAGAAGGATGAGGATGAGGATGATAAGGATGAGGATGAGGAGGATGAGGAGGATGAGGAGGATGATGAGGATGAGGATGATGAGGATGATGAGGATAAGGATGACGACGATGATGAGGATGATGAGGATGATGAGGAAGAGGAGGATGAGGAGGATGAGAAGGATGATGAGGATGATGAGGATGATGAGGATGAGAAGGATGAGGAGGAGGATGAGGATGATCAGGATGAGGATGAGGATGATGAGGATGATGAGGATGATGAGGATGAGGATGAGGATGATGAGGATGAGGATGATGAGGATGAGGATGAGGATCAGGATGATGAGGATGATGAGGAGGATGAGGATGAGGATGATGAGGATGATGAGGATGATGAGGATGATGAGGATGAGGATGAGGATGATGAGGATGATGAGGATGATGAGGATGATGAGGATGATGAGGATGATGAGGATGATGAGGATGAGGATGATGAGGATGAGGATGAGGAGGATGAGGATGAGGAGGATGAGGAGGATGAGGAGAATGAGGATGAGGATGATGATGAGGATGAGGATGAGGATGAGGATGATGAGGATGATGAGGATGATGAGGATGAGGATGAGGATGAGGATGATGAGGATGATGAGGATGATGAGGATGATGAGGAGGATGAGAAGGATGAGGAGGAGGAGGAGGATGAGGATGAGGAGGATGAGGAGGATGAGGAGGATGATGAGGATGAGAAGGATGATGAAGATGATGAGGATGATGAGGATGATGAGGATGAGGATGATGAGGATGATGAGGATGAGGATGAGGATGAGGAGGAGGATGAGGATGATGAGGATGAGGATGAGGATGATGAGGATGATGAGGATGAGGATGAGGATGATGAGGATGATGAGGAGGATGAGAAGGATGAGGAGGATGAGGAGGATGAGGATGAGGATGATGAGGATGATGAGGATGATGAGGATGAGGAGGAGGATGAGGATGAGGAGGATGATGAGGATGATGAGGATGAGGATGATGAGGATGATGAGGATGAGGATGATGAGGATGATGAGGATGATGAGGATGATGAGGATGATGAGGATGAGGATGAGGATGATGAGGATGATGAGGATGATGAGGATCAGGATGATGAGGATGATGAGGATGATGAGGATGATGAGGATGAGGAGGATGAGGAGGATGAGGAGGATGAGGATGAGGAGGATGAGGAGGATGAGGATGATGAGGATGAGGATGATGAGGATGATGATGAGGATGATGAGGATGATGAGGATGAGGATGAGGGATGAGGATGAGGATGATGAGGATGATGAGGATGATGAGGATGATGAGGATGAGGATGAGGATGATGAGGATGAAGAGGATGATGAGATGATGAGGATGATGAGGATGAGGAGGATGATGAGGATGAGGATGAGGATGATGCGGATGATGAGGATGAGGATGATGAGGATGATGAGGATGAAGAGGATGATGAGGATGAGGAGGATGAGGAGGATGAGGATGAGGATGATGAGGATGATGAGGATGATGAGGATGAGGAGGAGGATGATGAGGATGAGGATGAGGAGGATGAGGATGAGGAGGATGAGGAGGATGAGGAGAATGAGGATGAGGATGATGATGAGGATGAGGATGAGGATGAGGATGATGAGGATGATGAGGATGATGAGGATGAGGAGGATGAGGAGGATGAGGATGATGAGGAGGATGAGGATGAGGATGATGAGGATGAGGAGGATGATGAGGATGATGAGGATGATGAGGATGAGGATGAGGAGGATGAGGAGGATGAGGAGGATGAGGAGGATGAGGAGGATGAGGAGGATGAGGAGGATGAGGAGGATGAGGATGAGGAGGATGAGGAGGATGAGGATGAGGATGATGAGGATGATGAGGATGATGAGGATGATGAGGATGATGAGGATGAGGATGATGAGGATGATGAGGATGAGGATGAGGAGGATGATGAGGATGATGAGGATGAGGATGATGAGGATGATGAGGATGAGGATGATGAGGATGATGAGGATGAGGAGGATGAGGAGGATGAGGAGGATGATGAGGATGAGGATGATGAGGATGATGAGGATGAGGATGATGAGGATGATGAGGATGATGAGGATGATGAGGATGAGGAGGATGAGGAGGATGAGGATGAGGATGATGAGGATGATGAGGATGATGAGGATGAGGAGGATGAGGATGATGAGGAGGATGAGGATGAGGATGATGAGGATGATGAGGATGATGAGGATGATGAGGATGATGAGGATGATGAGGATGATGAGGATGATGAGAATGAAAATGATGAGGATGAGGATGAGGAGGGTGAGGATGAGGAGGATGATGAGGATGATGAGGATGAGGAGGAGGATGAGAAGGATGAGGAGGAGGATGAGGATGAGGAGGATGAGGATGATGATGACGACGACGACAAATATTAATAAACACAATTATCACAAAACACAGGCCACCTTTGCTTTCTGACCCAAAAAACACTCAGCCCCACCTCGCAACCCGCCGGAAGCCTCCAGCCCTGGCGAACAGATTTTGGGTTGTTAGCAGATTTTGAGTTGTAGCATCGGGTTTTCTGGTGATTTTGAGCCCATCTTTCTGCCATTTGCCCGGACATGTCTGTGGATTGTCCACCCCCCGCCTGAAAGTGGGAAACTTGTTGCCGGCACAGAACGTTCGCAACAGTCCAGGGTGGAAGGGTTCTTTCGGCCATGGGTTGAATTAGAGGCTGAGGATGGCTTTGAGGACTTGGAAATGTCTGTGCCAAGGCAAAGGGATCCTGAACTCCGCAAAATACCGCGTTCCATTTTGCGTGGTGCCACTATCCCCAATCTCCACGCGAGGCAACTCCCTTCAAACTGGCAACCAAACAGGTGATATCTGAACCAAATAGGGTTGGCCTTTGAGAAAGGTGACGTGTAAAACCAACAGTTCAAAAGGGGGAAATGTAGAGAGCGGTGCTTCAGAAAGCTCATCTAAAGGAAAGCTCACGTAAAGGAGGCTCCCTTTGAATCGACTCAGTAGTTCGTTGCTCCATTGCCAAGTACCGCCCGTACCACACACTGTTTGCACAATACTTCAGAAACCCCTCTGAACTCTGGACATCAAGGCAGGCTCGAGCGTATGGGGGAGACACCCCGCGAACAAAAGAGGAAAGAGGCGCAAGGCTACCGCCTAAACGACGACATAGCCCTTGCCTCTGAGGCCCCTGGGGCCCCTGCGCTTTCGTACCTCACATCGCCGTGGCAAGAACCCGGATGGTTGAATCCGACAGCCCTGTAGGCCTGCTTCAAGCAAGAAAGAGAGAGAGAGAGAGAAAGAGAGAGAGGGGAAAAGAGAACGAGAGTGAGAAAGAGAGAGAGAGAGAGAGGAAGAGAGAGAGAGAGAGCGAAAGAAAGAGGGAAAGAGAAAGAGAGAGCGAGAAAAGAGAGAAGGAGAAAGGGAAACGGAAGAAGAAACAGAAAGAGAAGGGGAGAAAGAGAAAAAAAGGACAGGGAAAGAAAAAGCCAAAGAGAAAGAGAAAGAGGCAGAGAATGAGAAAGAGAGAGAGAGAGAGAAAAGAGAAAGAGAAATGGGAAAGAGAAAGACAAAGAGAAAGGGAGACACAGAGAGAGAGAAAGGGAAAGAAAAAGGGAAAGGGAAAGGGAAGAAAAAGGGAAAAAAAGGGCAAGAGCAAGAAAGAGCAAGAAAGAGAAAGAAAGATAAAGAAAGAGAGAAAGAAAGAGAGAAACAAATAGAGAAACAAAGAGAGAAACAAAGAGAGAAAGAAAGAGAGAAAGAAAGAGAGAAAGAAAGAGAGAAAGAGAGAAAGAAAAAAAAAGAAAAAGAGAGAACGAGAGAACGAGAGAGAAAGACAGAGAAAGAGAAAGAGAAAGAGAACCAGACAAATACAGAGAAGGAGAGAGGGATACTCCAAGTGTGCGAGTTGTCGCTCCCCATCACAACCACACAAATCTGCGAATTCCTTGGCGAACGGAAAAGAGGAAACTTAGAACGGTCGATGATTCGCCGAGCGTCTGGCCTGACCACCGGGCTACAGAGAGAGCCACCTTCGAAGCCTCCATAAGGCCTCTCTAAAGCTGCTTGGCTTATCCTGGGCTTCAGATAGCCATTGCCCTGCCTTGCCGGGAGGTATATGAAAGCGGAAATTGGTATCTTCATCATGGATATGCTCGTTTGCCCCCCAATTCCCCAAATGGCCATACATCACAAGCGGAAAAATATGAGTGTTTCTCCGAATTGGGGACTCCGAAACGGGCGTTCCTACAGCCCCCCCTGGCACTTGGGCGCCGCGCCGGTTGGTGCTATAGCGCCCATAGGTCCCGTTGCTGCCGTAGGAGCTGTAGGACCCGTAGGACCCGTAGGACCCGAGTCCGGGCCTGCCAATTTGTCGGCGTCGGGTGTGGCTGGGCGTCGGGAAGCAACACGGTGCAAAATGTTGGCTCAAACGTCCGCCACGTCTGAGTCAACGATTGCTTGATCTCTTTGCTAAAGCTTAACTTGTAGTGGGGGTGCGTCAGGGAACCACCAACTTCAGCTGCAACCCAGGCCCGGCAAACTCCATTTTCCCCGGTGCAGAGCCGGTCAGGGAACACCGAACGCCGGGGATCGCGCTGTACAGTCGCCCAAAAAGCAACCAAAAATTTGAGAAGCCGCGCGCGGCTCGCATGTCTTCGCCATGGAGCTCTCGGCGCATCTACCTCGAGCCAAATGGACCCCCCCCCAACGTAAAGTCCCTGATGTTCCCCACGATTCCTTGATGAAACCAAGATCCTCCCAATGAGACTGCATTCAATGGGACACTCCCTGATAAATGAAAAGGCTATTTATCCCAATCATCCTTGGGGCAGATCCAATCTTGCCAGATCGAACCCCTCGTCGGATTTGTTCCTGAGCATGCTCTCAGGAAACCCAACGGAAACAACCCAAAACCAACTTTGGGCGATCCTCTTCGTGTTGTTTGACACAACCATTTACCCAAGCTCCGGTAGAGGTTTTTCTTGCTCCGCCTGGTTTCTTAGTTCCTGTGGGGCTCTGGTTGGCGAACAGGCCTCACCATAGGTATCCTTTCAGGGCAAATGGGTGGCCCTGGTAGATGATTCAACCACCAGGTTAACCAGGGCCATCTATTTTTGTCCAATTTTAGTTTGTTGGTTCTCTCGAGGTGTTTTTGCACTTTTCCCCAAAAAAAACAAAAACACCTCGAGAAAACAAAAACAAAACACAAAACGACAAAAACAAAATGTCAGACCTGACTCAGCCAACATGGATACGTAAGGTCTGAAATAGGGTCTGAAATTTTGTGTTTGTGATTTATTTTGGTTTCTCGAAGTTTGCTTGGTTGTGAGGTTGGGGTCAGCAAGAAGAAACAAATATCCGCAAGAAGGACACATTTGCCATCGCGGCAAGGGCATTTCACTTGCTAAACGCAACCGAATTCTATTCATATGAACTGAAAGAAACAGCCAGCTTGTCGTTTTTTACCATATTAGCCAGAGTACAGCGAAAATCTGATTACAGTCTTGGATACTTGGAAAGGATATCCCATCTAAAATCTGGTTCCAAAGGGTAACTGTAATTGAATCAGTTGGAAGAAACTACCAGCTTGTCTTTCCTTACTAAATGCTAGTAATACACATGTCACATAGAGATCATATTTGGAACGAAAACCCATTTGGAGTTGGATGGAATTCCTGTTTACAATATACTTAAAAATACTCAAAGGAAGTTTAGTAAGAAAACTTCCGTAATTCGAAAAGTTGAATCACAAGATCCGGAAGCACTCAGAAGTGAAGACAGTCAGCGCGGAGAATCCCGAAAAGTACCTCTGTTCTGCGTGCGGGTTCGCCACGGTCTCGCCACGGTTTCGGAATGTTGCCCACTGTAATGCTCGCGCAGACGTTTTCGGAGGTCTATTTTGCGTCGCAGGCGCAGCACTTTGGCAGCCTAAGGTGCAGATTTCGCGGCAGGCGCAGCATGTTGTGCCCGCGCAAGGTCAAGTACAGATTTCGTGGCAGGCGCGGCACTTTCGCAAGGTGAGGTGATAGATAGATGGATGGATAGATAGATCAAGTGGGAAGAGAGAGAGAGAGAGAGAGAGAGAGAGAGAGAGAGAGAGAGAGAGAGAGAGAGAGAGAGAGAGAGAGAGAGAGAGAGAGAGAGAGAAAGACAGAGACGAAGGTGTAAATCGCGTGGCAGGCGCAGCACTTTTGCAAGGTCGAGCGCCGGTTTCGTGGCAGGCGCAGCACTTTCGCAAGGTCAGGTACAGATTTCGTGGCAGGCGCGGCGGCAAGTAGTCGCTGACACTTGTGTTCTTGGTCCCGCTTCTGTGAGCAGGTGGACTTGTTTGACCCGATCCTTTGGTCGATGCTCTCAAGGGCTGGGTGTCCTCTTCTGGGATGACCCCTCAGGCATCGGAGTACTCACCTCCATCGCAGATGTGGCGTCTTTGCTTGAGGCTGCCCTCACCCCGGGGCACGTGGCACCCGAAGGTGGGGAGGCCGTTCGCGACAAGGACAACTCGGCAATGCAGTCCTGAAGCTCCGTCATCTTCATGCGTAGGTCATTGGGCTGCGCCTCCGTGTCCAAGCGGGGGGCTGCAAGGCCAAACGGGCCTCCGCCTCCTGGACGCGCAGGAGTCCACCAACTCGAAGGAATCGTGCTGGCTTCCGAGCGAGACATGGTCGATACAGGGAGGGGGAATGAAAACAAGAAGGTTTTCTCTTTGGACCAAGGTCAAGAATCTTGAGCCAAAATGGCAGGCCATTTTGACTCATATTGTTAATTTATAAAAATTTTCATTTAAAATGGCACCGCTACGCTCTTCCATTAGAAACATTTTACTTGAACGCATATTTGGATAAGATCCCATTGCACATCTAAAACTAAGAGCTAACTTCAAATTTCCAATTGACTTCTAATTGGAACCCCTGCTTGGAAGGGAAGTGCTGACTAGTATCTAATTCAAGAAAATGAAGTGAAGTCTGATCGGAATGTAAGTAAAGCCTCGCAATGACCTTGCAAACAAATTGCAATGAAATCAGCTTTTTTCCATGGGGTTTCCCCTGTTTCAGAGGCTCGCGCTGCAGATTAGAAGAAACAACAAGCTGCTCTTTCCTCATTAGATTCCCAATTAACATCCTACTTGGGAAGTGAAACCTATTTAAATTCTAATTCAAATACTGTGTTAACTTGAAGGCTAATCGAGATATGAGTCAACCTAAAGCGGTGCAATCTCAAACTTGTAAACCAACAGAACTGAAATTGCAGTTCCTTTGAGTTTCGATTGGTTTGTCTCTCTTTTTTAGGGGCAAGCAATTCAGAATAAACGTCCAACTTGTTTTTCCAGATAGGATTATATTGAATTCTAATTCAGTTCTAACGCTAAACACTGCGATAGGAATGACAAGAAAGATGCTAAGAGAATTGCAGCTACAATGATAATAGACAAGACACTTTTGGCGACTGGCCTTTTCTTCAACACTGTCTCATAGTGTAAGCTTGCAAACGACCAGCAATTCTGGGCCAATTTTCAAGGCCCAATTGTCTGATGAAGCCTGCTTGAAACAGACAAGCAGTTTTGGGCACAACATCCAAGGTCCCTGGCACTAAAAGTGCATTGCCCACATACTATTGAATCTCAATCTGCGAATCTCAATCTGCCTCAATTCGCGTAATTCTCACTTGTGGGGTTGAAACTGGTGCATTTTGTGGGTTTCAAAAACCCACCCCCCATGAGGGGACGCTCTCCTTTTTTTACCCTGTCTACGACGGAGGGGTCCCTTCCTAAAAAGCTGCTGAGGAGTCCCCCTCAACATTCAAACCCTGCCACATAGGTTGTCAAAACTGCGGTCACTCTCCTGGATTTAATCGAACCCCAGTTTGAGCTTTCCTCCCCAGATAGCCTCCGATAGAAAAACAACATGGAACCTGAAATGGGGAAAGACCATCTTCCTCCAACAGGGACCCTCGTCCTCTGTCAGGTTCCATGATCGTTTTTAGAAGGGTAGCTGAAAGCTACAGGGGTTCTCACTTGGTCCAAGATGCGCGGCGTCGTCCTGTGCAACGCGGGGGCTTAGGCCGCCGAAAACCTTGCTCTCGCTGCACTTGCGCTCGCAAGTGCTGCTGAACAAGAACCTTGGCTTGCAAAGATGCGCCAGGTTGGGATATTGTGCCATCTCTACGCAGAATCAGTTGGAGTACTCGAAAAGGGAAATGCATGAAAGAGGGAAAAGCCCGTTGACTAGTTGATTACCCCTTCTTGACATGTGCCATACACAAAACCCGGCATCTCAGACAAGTCCGAAGCCCTCGATAAAGAGTCGAAACTTAGCCTCGCGTGGATCCCTTGCTAAAAAGGTTCCGCTTTTGTTGGGGCATGTCTTAAATTCCTCCGAGCTCCAAACATCGGAAGGTCTGAGCGGGCCATGCTACAATAGCGCACGACACCTCGCGCGGCACCGCTTCTTGCAATGTGCCACGGACAAAAATTAACCGATCGAAGATGACCCTCGGCTTTGAGAAAGGGGATCTCGGCATCGGTTTCAAAGGGAATCGCTCAGAGTGCTCGCCTTTTTGCATTCCATTTTTCTTGAACGTCAACCAACCTGAATGCCGTGGAAGCCTTTCAAGAACCGGGGGCCCTCTATGTTCAAAGGGCTGGAAAAGTGGCCAAAAGTCGCCGAAGTGGGTCCATAACGACTAGTTTGCCACCAGCTTTACAAGGCATGGCCTCAAAACCCCGTGCGTTCCGCAACGAACAGATTCCTCCTGAAGGGCCATCCCAACCATATCCATATCTGAAAAAAGGGCGTCCCATGCATGATCCTAAGGTCTTCACGCCAACACCACTTGATTCCCAGACATCGCCGCTTGGAGCTCAAACTGCAAAAAAGAGTGGCTTCGGCGTCCTCCAAATGCCCAAACCCGGGGTTCCCCAAAATGGTTGGCTTCCTTTCGGTTTCCCTTCACATGCAAACCAAACTGGGGTCCACCATTTGCGGACCCATCCGGGGTCTTGATCTCAGGGTTCATCGCCCAGCGTCACACACCCCGCCGCCAGCGTGGCGGCGCAAAGGAACCTCGGGGCCCGGGATGAGGGGAGCAATCAGCGGAGAGCAATGTGTCTTGCTCGTAGGCGTCCTTTTTGGTTGTTTTCGTAGAAAAATAGATGGCGATTCCTGATTCACCTGGTGGGTTAAAAAAAACTACCAGACCCATCTATCTCCCCTAAAAGGACGCCTATGGTCTTGCGTTGCCGCTGCTGTGGCCGTGGCCGTGTGGAGGGTATTCTTCTGGGGCGAAAAGGGGAACCAAAGGGGAAACCGACCATGTTTAGCGGCCTCCGAGCCCAAAGACATCAAAACACGCGCATGTGAAC